CTTAACACTCTCCGTTTTAAGACAACGGCCCTGTGTTGGGGGAAGAGACAACTGCCTTCCTACAAATGTGACTGGAAGACTGAAGTATGACCCACACGCTGGAACAGAGTTCCAGGCAACAGGACGTCTGTGCGGCCAAAGGACATTGAATCCCACTAAAGCTGTGTGACCTGTGATGTGTTCAACCTGCAGTACGATAAGAGAAGCCAATGGAATCCCCCTGCAGCAGAGCACTGCAGGGACCTTGTCCATGGACTGGAGGCCTCTGGCCCATGAAATGGGGAGAGTGCTCAGGTGAGATGTACTAGGATGTCACCTCCTGAGGTCTGAAATCCATCCTTGCTCAGTAATTACCGCTGTGGTGATAATTTTGGATGTGGCTGTACGTGGAGGCCTCCTTGAGAGACCCTGTTGCTGCCGTCAGGTCCTCTCAACTGTGGGTCTGTATTTCACTCAGCACTCTTCTGTTCTCAGGCCTGGGCTGAAGACCTGATGCAAAGACCGCCTCCTCCCAACCCTTAGAGAGGGAGCCGCCGGGTGACCTCACTCAGTAAGGACGAGGGAAGCAGGCACAGTAAATGAAGTCTGTGCCCGAAGTCAGGTGTTTGGTCATTAGCAGGAGATTCTCAACCCAGATCAGGCCCTCATGATGCTGCTCTCAACCTCCTCTGCTACACTGACGATGGTCTTTGTGCATCTGTGTCTTCCACGCTAAAACATTCCCTCCTTACAAAGCTCACGCACAACTCACAAGGCTCTGGGAGTTTTTAAAACTTACAAGATTCCCAAGGCCCTTCCCCTCGGATAAAGGAGAGAATTTCTGGAGAGACTGTTTTGATTGGCAAGCTGTACAGGGAGCCAGCCCTAGGGAGGCAACTTCAAGCGTCCTCACCCACTCTGAGGTGGGATTCTCAGTGAGGCCTCTGCCTTTCAGTCAGCCATGGTCCAGCAAGAAACTCTTCACCGGCGCTCCTCTAAGTAAAGTAAACTTAGCAGTCACTAAGCCACACTTGAGTGCAATCATTTTTTTTTTTGCTTTGTTGCTGGTCACTACTAGAATGAAAAGAATTTGTCACATTCCCCTCCCCACCACCAGGAGTTGGGGGCTACCTCAAAACAGTTTTAGCTACTTGGAGAAGTTCGTAAGTGAGGGATAGTTACTGTGACTCCTAGTGTTTGGTGAGCTTGAGGAAACCTCCAAAAGACTCATGAACTAGAGCATCTCATTCCACAACTGACCTATGTGGCTACTTGAAATGGGGCGTTGAATATTGCCGAGTCATTCAATGCAAGATTTGTACTGAGGCTTCTTCTAACTCCAGCCCACATTCAGGGAGGCAGACACATCAGTGATAAGGAGGACCGCTTCTCAAAGGCATGTCAACATTACCCAACTGATGCTCCACCTTGTCATCAGAATAGAGCATAAAGGACCTACTGGAACATCCCTTGGGCACCCCCATCAATCATCCAAATCTGAGGCATGCCTTTGACAAACCAAGCAGGGCAGCCACTCAGAGCTGAGCTGTTTGCTGAAAACGGATTGAAAGAGTCTGCAGGCTGATGAAAAAGAGATGTACGCCTTATGGCTGTCAGTTTGGAATCCCCCAGAAAGATTGATTTTTCTTGTGTTTATTAAGAAGACCAACATGAAATTTTACCCCAGCAGACACCAATGTTAATCATATTTGTAATGAGTATCTATGGGGGAAGAGGCACGGCATCAGTTCAGACCCACATTATACGTGGCTATCAGTACGTGAGTACAAACTCATCTCCATAGCTCTCAAATGATTTTCCTACTTCAAAATCTAGAGACAAACATTTAAAATTCAGCATGTGTGCGAATATGCACACACATTAGATGTATACACCCACCATCGTGTACATGTATGTGTGTCTATATGTCTGTATTTGGATTCTGCAGAGATTTTTAAATAATTTTCCTGCTAAAGAAGTTCATAAGCTATTGTTTCATAAGCCATTTTTATATTTTCCTACAATTACATTGTCAAGATTTTAAAAACTTAACAGTACCCTAATTGTTACCTACTTGTGAGAGGTGTTTATTCATTTATTATGCTACAGTGTATTTATCTGTGTGACTCACATATGTATATGTGTTCATTGTGTATGTGTGTGTGTTTGCGTGTGTTTGTGTGTGTGTGTGTGTTCGTGCGTGTGCACGTGTGTGGGTGGGTGGGTGTATACCTGTCAGTTCCTCCCCACCTTATTTTCTTTGAGGCAGGGTCTCTCACTGGATGAGAAGCTCAGCGATTAATTAGACTAGTTGGCCAGGGAATCCCAGGGATCATTCCATATACTCAGAATGGGATTTTTTTCTATTTCCACAACCTCTTGGCTTTGATGGAACAGATGGCAGGAGTCTGAGGTGAAAGATTTTGTATTGGCTTTCTTTCAGGTGGCCAGTATGGGGTCCAGATTCTGAATGTGTAGCCAGAACAAGTCCTCTGGGTTGTCTCTGCAACCTGGTATTGAAAAACCTACCACAACCAAGGAAAGAGTGGTGGTGCATGAATGACAGCAGTGGCATTAATTAAACCAAACGCTAACTTTTCCTCTGCTGCTCATATGCAGTGATAATTCACTTAGTGGAATTAGTTCTTTGTTACTCAGAGCAATGCTCTCAACTCATGGATGTTTTCTTGAGCCAGATTTTACGGTGTATGTCAGAAATATCTCTAAATCCTTATAAGTTGTGTTTGGTTCTGTGCAATGCATTTTTTAATGCCCATGGGGCTTATCCATAAAACTCTCAGAGATGGCTGAGTTTCTCCTTCCACTTCTGAATTTGAAGAACACATATCATTTTCCATGCTGGGCTATATCCAAAGCATTAACTACAGAATATAGAATTCATGTGAACATGAGCTCTCCTGGAAGACACGGAACTATGACCACTGGCTCCACCTTCTCCAAGGTAGCCTCACAACTTCTTCTGATGCCTCCAGCCCAGCTTTAGCACTCTGGTCCTTCATGGGAGCTAGTCTTTGTAGCTATGAAGCTCTTTCATTCTAGTCCTTGATTGAGGGAATGACTGTTCCCTGAAGTCATCCCTGGTTACCTGCTTTTCCCTCCTCTGACCCCTCTGTTACCTGTTTTGCCTGCTTGCTTAAAGAGCAAGCATCTCTGTTAGTTGGATCTCCTGTTCAATCTTTCCAGAAGAAATTATTTATCTATGTATCTGTCTGCCTGCCTGCCTGTCTGTCATCTGTCATCATCAGCTATTTATTTTGTTTCTTCTTAGGCAGACTCTGAGGAGCCCAAACCGAGTTGAAACTTATGTAGCCAAGTTTGACCTTGAACTCCTGAACCTCCAGCAACTAACTCCCAAGAGCTACAGTTACAAGTGCAAGCTACCTTGCCTCATTTATGCTATGGAATACAGTGCTTTATGCATGTTAAGCAAGCGCTCTATCAACTATACCCTAGCTCAAGCCCCACCAGCGTCTCTTGAAGGTCCACCTGTCTACCTGTGATTCAAATAGCCCAGACTCACATCTCCCTGCCAGGGCTAATGCAGACTGAGGGTTCCAGACACTGATCTTCTGTATGGGTCAGTCTAGGAACAAGACACTCCCACCCAGACACTAAAGTTCTTGCAACAATGTTGCCACCTGTGTCCCCCCCCCATGCTCATAGTACTCGCATTTTAGAAGTCACATTTTCTAGCCAATTTCTAAAAGAAACCACAAGCCAAGCAACTAATAATCTTAAAGTTAATTTACAATCTCCTTTACCCTCAAAAAACACAAAATGAACTACATATAAGAGAGATTGGAGTGTAATATTAAGAACACACTTTGGTAGAGGAGGAAACGATGGGTAAGTTTCTTATATAACTTAGATGTATAGCAAGTTTTCTAGCTGTGATACAAAATGAAGATGTTACAAGGGAAATATTCAATATAAAAGTTGTGTAAATGGCAGGATGTGGTGCCACAGTCCTGTAATTCCAGCACTTGGGATTCAGAAGCAGGAGGATTAGAGTTTGAGGTCAGCCTAGTTTGATACATGTGACTCTATCTCCAAAAATAAAAAGAGTTGTGGAAAAGAATGTAACTAACATAATCTTTAGCCTGAAATATGAAAGTTATGACTCACACCACAAGGAATTAATGCTCTTTGCTTTTTAAACAAAAAAGAAAGAAACTCAGGAAAATAAACAAAAGAGAGAAACAAAATTCACATACTCAAAATTATATATATATATATAAGATGCATATAGGCACAGAAAAAATGACCTTTATAGATTAAAAAGAGGCTTGCACTTGCAAGCCCAGAGCTAAGGAGGCAAGGACAGCATGGTTTATGTCAGTTCAAGACCAGCCTTGTCTACACAGTAAGTTCCAGATGTAAGACCCTATTTGAAAGTCTCCTAAGTGACACCTTACCTCATAAATAAATAAATAAATTCAAAAGCTGTTTCACTTCCCTTATTATATGAGGAATATAAAATAAAGCTGCCTATTTCTAATGAATCTGATAAGCAAAATGTAAAAAAAAAATTGATCACGCCCTTCAAAGTTGAAGGAAATGGAGTCCTCATACATCTCTCATGGCCAATGTCCGTTTACAGAATGCACTCGCCAGTGGCTCAGAATGCCAAGTTCAAGCCTCTTGCTATGAAAACACACGTCACATTAGATAAGCTAAAATGCATTCCTTGATTTTGAAATTCATTGAGATTGACCTTAATATCCATAAGAAATGGTTGTGTACAATGATGCAGCCACTCAGGGCAACAGTACAGAGTCATGAAAATTAAAGGAGGAACGTACACAGGAACTGGTGGGTGACAAAGTTGGTGTATATATTGTATGTGAAAAAAGTGAAAAGTCAGAAAACAAAACTATATATAAATACATATATGCAAGTGTTAGTTACACACCAGACAGATGGAGTAATCATTTTTCTCCCCCATATCCTGCAAAAAATACAAAAGGCATAGGCAGTGACTGATTAAAAATGACTGTTTATAAGAGCAGAATGATAAAAACTAGAAGGATAAAAGAAATAAGATTTCTATTTGGCATAGTTTTTAGTTTTGGGAAAGAGATTAAAATATATATGGAAACAAACTAACAAACTGTGCATAAAATTGATAATGTAACCATGCAAAAGGAATGAAGAATCTAAGTTTTCAGAATATCACCCCCCCAGCTGAAGAAGGCTAAGAACATAAAATAAAAGCAAGCAATTCAACAAGATGTAAAGTTGTCAATATTAGTATCAAGATATTATATTTCCAGGCTAAGTATAGAACTAAACATAGGATGTTTTGAAGAACAGGGGTCTTTCCTAAGATAATGCCATGGACAAGACAGAAACATATGATTTTAGATTGGAATCAGAGGCATCAGGTGTGGGTGCATTTGTGTCTGCCCCCAGGGAGCAAAAGTACACATGAGTGTTTGCATATGCACCGTGGGAGTGGAAGGCAGAGTTGGATGCAGCCAACTTCATGGGAAACAGGATCCAGGCAGGATGAGAAAACAAGTTACTCCCTCTCCTGAGGAAAGGGTGAACTGTCATTTGTGAAAATTAAACATGGAGAAACACCAAGTCACATACAGAAGAACATCCCCCATCAAAGTCACAGGAAATGAGACCCTGTTTCCAGAACCGTGTGGGAGGTTGCTCAGCCAAGAGAAAAAGAGAATGTGCTCCAGAGACTGAAGGAAATAACTTCACATTCCAGCACATTTGTTCCCCATTGTAACTCTGGATGACTGGGCCCCTCGGAGCCTGGTGTCCCTTGTTCATATGGAAAAATATTGGAAGCATTGGAAAGTTGCTGATGAGGACTATGGAGAAACATGTCTATGAGATATGGAGCATGGTGCAGGTGCCCAGTGGATAGCAGCTAACATGATGGCTACTGTGAATAAACCACCAAGTCTGCAAGCTAACTGCAGAGGGAGGTATCAGTACGTCATTTCTTGGAAATCTGCACTAAAACTGGAAAATGGATACTAAAACTGTCCTTTGAATTGGGTATTCTGTTTCTCAATATTTATCCAGTGGAAGGAGACAAAGTATGCACGGGAAGATAGGAATAATTCATTTCAGCATAGAACATACTTTAAAATCACAACCGCTGAAGTATAATTAAACTGCCATTTTGATAAACTGATATAGAATCCTCCTACCTTCTAAGTACTTATCCTTACACCCATCCGATAAGTGCAGTTCTCAGCCCTCATTGGAGAAGCGTCTTTCTGCAGAGTACTGAGGGTTTTGCGGAGAACTGCAAACAACAGGGAACTATGGAGTGCCCATCTCCAAACGGGTCATCCACAACACAGCCTCTTCCCTCAGGCTCAGGGAGTAGGGTGAAAGTGTCAGGAGAATGACTATAAGAAGTCAGAGATTCAACTGCAGTTTCTGTGGAAGAGTATAGGCTGTCAATAGTTTTTGAAGGATGGGCATGGGGTCAGCCACACACCCATGTGCCTATGGACAACATCAATTGAATCCAGCAGGTTACATGCTTAAATGACTGGAAGACAGGGGGCATGAATTTCAGAGGAGGAAGATCATGAGGAGTTGGTGGTGAGGGGTGGATGTGATCAAGGTGTTTTGTACTCACGTATGAAATTCTCAAAGAATAAGAAAAAAGTCTAAATAAGATTAAACTACCCACACATGCACACTACTAAACACAGAGACCTAGGTGGACATAAAAGGTATGCACAATGAAAGTGTATAATGAGCTTCCAAGTCTCTTTTATCAGAACCTAAAAGTTCGCTCAAGAAATCCTAATAGATGCATTAGGCGTTTGTAATGCTAGAATCAGATTCAGGGACTCACCCAGGCTATTCGAGTGTCCTTGCACTGAGGTGTCATCCTAGTACTCCAAATACAGACACACAGACTTGTATCTATTCCATCATTACTGTGGTGATTAAATGAACTCTTCAAGCTAGATCACACAGGCAAGCTGTAGACTCCATCTTCAATGCATGCTCCCTTCACTTCTGACTGGTGGCTGCCATTTTTTTTAATGAAAAATGTTCCTCCTGCCACTGACACCTCTGGGTTCTTTGGTGTCCTTCTGCTGTCTGTAACACTATGGACTCATGAATTCACTGTGCTGTGCCTAAACAAGAGTCACCATTCTTTCCGTTGCTCAATTTGTCTCAGCCCTGGGAACATCTCTAACTGGTTCCAGAATCTGGTTTTTTTTTGCCTGATCCCTGAGCCCCTTCCAGGGCTCTCTGTTTTGTTCCACATTGAGAGGCATCTACAAAGCCTTAGTTTGTTTCACTGGGGACTTGATATTTAGGAACTAAGATCCGGGTGCTGAGTACAGTTGCCACTGGACTGTCAGTCAGAATCTTTCCATAGCAACCCTGGAATGTGCCAACTGACTTTTCATCTCCAAGGGAAATTTATTCATGCATCAGGATAAAAAATATTAATGTAATGAGTCAGTGTTAGTCTTTTCTGACATCTCTGGAACTCTGCTCTGCTAAAGGATGTAAAGATGGAGAACTAGAAAATAATGGTGCTGATTTATGTGAAGCTATAAGGCCCTCACTCACCTAAGCCTTGATATTCCTTGTGTGGTGACATCTTCAGTTTGAGGGATTGGAGTGAAGATAGTCATCATTTTTCAAGACCCTTGGAGTCTTAATTGAGTTCCTCAATTAATAACATGAAGCAGAGGAAGATGAAGAGTACCTGGATTGTAATTGTTCAAGCATCACGGCACGGAAGGAACCAAATATCACCAACTCTGTTTTCATAGAGATGAGATGGAGAGAAATGTGTTCTGGGGTTGGAAATTATGTGGAGGTCAATTCTACCACCTCAAAGAGGTGCGGTCTTAGATAAATGCTGAACGTCCTTGAATTTCTCTTTCTCTGGTAAAACTGTAGAAGACTTGAAAATGGACAGGATTGTTAACTCCCTTCAGCTGGGCATTGTTTGGACCTGACTCTCTGGTGGTTTGCCACTGTCTGCAGCCCTCCAATACAAAGTTACCAACCCCAAAAGGAGAGTGGGAAAACTTGGTTTCAAACAGATCCTCTGGGACAGTGTATCAGTCAGGGACAGAAACAATAGTATGAGTCTATACTCTAAGTGGATATTCTTAAGATTTGGTTTACATGCTTGCTATGGGGTAGGTGGTCCAATAATGGCCCTGTGTGTACTGGAGTGGGAAAAAAGCCAGCAGCTGCTCACTCCATAAAGCTGGGTCCCTCACTTGTTCCAAGCTGGTGCTGGAGGCCTGTAGGATTCTTGGAGACAACTGGTATACTTGCTTCACACTGGAAAGCCAAAGAAGCTGCTGTGACAATACAGATGCACTCAGCAGCAAGAAGGAAGGTTGAGTAGACAGAAGCACCATTGCTTTTCCCTTGGACCTTTCTATGTCTGGGCTGTCATGACAAGGCAATGTCCACAGCGGTAGGGAGGGTACTTTTTTCCTCCACCCCCAGTTTATGCTTCCAGGAAATATCCTCACAGACATATCTCTTAGCTGACAAGATTAACATCACAGAGAGTATCTGGCTATTTGGCATCTCCACTCTCACTGTTTTTGAACAACTTCCAACTCTATAAATTGCAGGAAAGCAATAGGGATGCAGATAATTCTCACCTGTACAAACAGAAATGAACATCATCCTGGTAAAGACACAACTGATTGTGGTTGTAACTGGCCCCAAGACTTTAGAAAACCCCTAGGTCTTACCACATGGATTCTATAATGGAAGTGCCATCCAGGCCATTACATTCAGCACATAGACATCACCACCTGCCAGAATGAAAACAAATCCATCAAAGTCCATTGATGTGGAATGTCCTTCTGTATGCTGCAAATATGTGTTGTCTTTACTGACTGATAAATAAAGCTGATTTGGTCAATGGCCAGGCAGAATATAGCCAGACAGGGCATAAAATCCAAACAGAGATACAGAGAAAAAGAAGGCAGAGTCAGGGAGAGTCAGTGGTCTCTGAAGGAGTAAGATTCAAGAACATTACAGGTAAGCCATGGCCACGTGGTGATACACAGATTTTTTTAAAATGGGTTAATTTATAAGACAGAGCTAGGCAATAATAAGCCTGAGCCATTGGCCAAACAATTGTATTTAATATTAGCCTCTGAGTGATTATTTCATAAGGAGATATGGGAGAGTAACCACTTCAGGGTGACCAGCAAGACGAAGAAAAGCATTCAACTACAGTCCATAGTTCTGGGACAATCCCTAAATCTACCAGTCTTGCCTTTTGGTTTCTGTAGTTCCACTTCTGGCTAACTGAACTTGTTACCTGAAGTATGTCAACCCAGAACGTGGGTTTTGTGCTTAAAAGCTCACCCTGAGAAAGGCTTGGTGTTATGCTGGGATCCCAAACACCCACTGTAGTCACCATCAGGCTAATAAAGACTTTCAGTTGGCTTAAACTCATGTCCGAGTAGTCTTCTCTGGTGGATATCCCAAAACAATGGCAATACAGGTACTGACACGTTTGTATGCATCAATATGTACGTTTCTGCATTCTTTTTTTTATAAATATCTGCTCTAGTTTAGTTTATGCATCTATATGGGGGTAGATGCACATCAGTGCAGGTTTACAGAGAAGCCAGAAGAGGGAGTTAGACTCCCTAGAACTGGAGTTAACAGATTATTTTTGAGCCACTTGACTTGGTTGCTGAAAGCCTAGCTCAGATCCTCTGCAAGATTAGTACACATTCTTAATTACCGAGCCACCTCTTCAGCCCAGACATTTGTGCATTCCTGATCACTCTATCCACACCCAGTTCTAACTCAGTTAAGGGCTCTCGTGTGTCTACCCAATAGATGTTCTGAATAGACCTGAATAGGCCTCACATTTCACTGTCATTAAAAAATTGAATCAAAATCTCTGACAAGTGTGTGTTTGTGTAAAACTCGAGGTTTTATCCATACAGGAAAGCTACGATTTGGTTCCATGTCTATGGGAAAGGCAAAGCAGCTCTGTTACAAACATAAGGGCCCTTCCTTATTTTTTTTCCCCTAAGTCTCAGGAAATCTAGCACTAAAAATAGTCTCTTTTGTTGCTCCCTCCTTTCCCCCACAATTTCTTTCTCTCTTTCTCTTTTCTTTCTCTTTTAAAGTTCTACAAGCTTCCAGAAGTACCACACCTTTGTACCTATCCAGGGAAAACTTATCTCAGGAAAAAAAACTAAAAAAAAAAAATCTATGCACTACTTGAAATAAGCTTGACACTAGAGGCCTACGTCACCCCCTTCAGTGAGGACTGGAGTCACAGTTCAGCTATTGCCAGTGCTTGCTGCTGCCCTTCCAGAAGACTGGAGTCTGGCTCACAGCACCTACACAAGACAGTCACACTGCCTGCAACTCCAGCTCCGGGAGAGCCAACACACTCTTCCTGCTTTGCAAGCACCCCCAGGTACATGAACATACACACATGCACATAGGATGTTGCAAGAATACTAACAGTCTTTTTTTAAATGGGATTTTAGAGGCTGGGCAGATATCTCTACCAGTAAGGTACTTGTCTCACAATCACATAAGCAGGGTTTGATTCCTAAGCACCCATTATTTCCAGGAATATGCTTGTTGGGGAGGCAGAGGCAGGTGGATGCCTGGGTCTCGCTCATCAGCCAGCCTAGATGGATCAGTAAGCTCTGGGTCTCAGGGAGAGTCCCTGTCACACACACAAAAAAAAAAACAAGGTGGAAAGCTCCTAAAGAACAGCATTCAAGGGTGTCTTCTGCCCCCACATGAACATATGTGTACATACACAAGCCTACGTACAGGGACATAGACACACACCAACACACATGTACATAGACACACCTATCTACATGTACATAGACACGTGCACTTTTTGGAGGTAAAATTTCCAGGAAGAAGGCTTTCCACTCACCCAGACACTGCCCACAAAGGAGTCAACCTAGCCTATCTGAGCCAGCACAGGGTCTTAGTTTTCTCTGGCAACTGTTGGGATCGAGAGGGGATGATGACAAGTAATGGATGAGTCTAAAGGATCCATGAAGCCTAAATTAGAAGGGCTTAACAGAACAAAGTCCGTGCATCACATTTTTTAGAGATCACAGCCATTGACAGGAGAGCTGGAGATGAACGGATGGGGAGAGATTTAGCCTTCAGGAATTCCACGGCCTTTTGAAAACACTTGAAAATGTAATATTTTCTAAAGGATTTCTTAATCATTCCTGTCTTGTCCACCATGGGGAGAAGAATGTAATGTTTGCATTTTTTCTAGATTTCTGAATCTCTGCCATTTGGACTTATTTATCCGAGTCTCTGGAGATGCCCTGTGCTGTGAAGAGAACGCAAGCAGACCCATAGCAAATACAAATCGTATTCATTTGTCCTTCGGAGCACAAACTTCAACCGTAACTAAATACAGTATGCTGGCTCTCTCTGTGCTTTTTATGAACTTTTGAAGCAGGTTTTGTGATGAATAGATTTTACAGGATTATGCAGTTATACTCCACTTTTAAATATTTCAGAAAGAAATCATAAACATGACCTCATATGTTAATAAATCAATTATGGAATGCTTCTCTCTACATATGTTCAAAATATGACCCTATCCAAAACTTCTTCAACAAGCACTAGGAAATAACTTTAAAATCTTATTTAGGCAGCCCTGGTTCTCAAAATACTGGATAGAAATCTGCTGTTCCATATAAAGGAGGAGGAGGAAAATAGTTTCTTTGACCTAAGTTTATTTTGTTTCTCATATAGTAAATATTAAAGCCATGTTGAGGGTATGACATTTGCTCCATGTTAGGTCTCTTTTCTCTTTCCTTTCCTCATTCCAAGTTGAAGCTAAGAAATCAAAGCAAGAAGACAAGGAATTGACTTGCTAATGACAACCCAGTGGCTGGAAGGTTTTGGAAGAGGCACGCCTTAGCCCTGAGCTATTTGTTTTGAACATCACTGCTGATCTGGAAGATTACGAGTGATAGACAAAAGGACAGTCTCTGTGATGGGCCTGAATGTTTGACACTTATTTGATAAGGCTGCTTTCTGCCTTTGTGGCAACTAAATATTTAGAACCATTATTTATCCTCTTCTCAGTGGGGGTATTCAAAATGTCTGTAATACATCTCTCTGTGTGTAAGAAAAAATCAAAGATTACATCATTATCTAGATAAAATCTTTTTAGTGTGTGTGTGTGTGTAAGAGAGAGAGAGAGAGAGAGAGAGAGAGAGAGAGAGAGAGAGAGAGAGAGAGAGAGAGAGAGAGAGAGCCTCCTGAGCTGGAGTTGCAGGTTATTGTGAGTCACCCCATTGTGGGTTCTGGGAACAGGGTCCTCTGTGAGAGGAGCATACTCTTAACAGAGCCATCTCTCCAACTCTAGAAATGTGATTTTAAACACATTTTGGGGCTACAGAGATGGCTCAGCAGTTTAGGAGCCCTTACCTCTTGCAGAAGACAAGTGTTCATTTCCCAAAACCCACAGCGGATATTCCACAAAATCCTGTTACTCCAGTTCCAGGGGTTCGGATTTTGGCAGGTTTCTGCATCCATGGCACATACATACGCTCAAGCACACACACATACAATATAATTGTTTGTTTTTATAGTTTTCGTTTTTGTTTGTTTGTTGTGTGAGAGAGAGAGTTAGTGAATTCTAAGACAATGTAACCACATTGCTGTTTAATTATTATTTATTTGGGTTTTATCATCTCAAATAACATCATTGACTAACCCAACACAAAACTGCTTTTCAGGAAACTCATCGTGGAGAGTGTGAATGCTGCCCCTCTTCCCTGGTGGCAGAAAACGTGCTACTTTAAATTTTTGTACATGTATTTTTTTGTGTATACATAGATGTCAGAGGACAGCTTGTGAGAGTCAGTTCTCTCCCTCCCAACACGCAGGTCCCAAAGACTGAACTGAGGTGTCAAACTAGACAGGGAGCACCCTAACCCACTAAGTCATCTCTCCAGCCCAGCACCAAATTTCTCAAGCCAGCAATTTCAAATGTTTCAGGAAAGCTACTTAAAATAAATGACTATGTCTAGCTTCTAGGAGAGGAATCCAGCCATCAAGAGTAGGCAGAAAGAGTAGCACATACTGATGCTATTTTGTTTACAAATGCTGGAGTGGTGAGTGAATAAATGCCCTGTGGTGCCTATCTGATGCTAAGTTTGATATGTTTCTTGTGTCATCTGCAAACACTGACTCAAAAAAAAATGGGTCACAGAAGCAAATATGAAATCAACTATAAAACCTCCAGAGGAAATAACAAAAACACTTGTGGCCTTTGGTTAGGCCAGATCTTAGATATGATACCAAGACTATGACTAAGGGGAAGAAATGAACTTCACTGAAAGTGAAAATTTTCCCCTGTTTGGAAGGCACCACTGGGCTAGGGATGTAGCTCCGTGTGGGAACCCATCTTTGTGGGCCTTCAGTCGTATCGAGGAGGGGGAGTGTGGATTGAGAAAGGACAGGTGAAGACGCTAAGAAAAAGACAGAGACACAGGATGGAGTCAGGAGGACAATCCAGTGACTACTGAACACTCCAAGTTTGTTCTTCAGCATTCTTTACTTACTCTTCAACATTCTCTATTCTTCAACATTCTTAAGTGCCCCAACCAAAAGGGGGACTTTGCAGAAGACTTCTTTATCATGTATGAGGAAACGACCTTCTTCCTTAATCCTCCAAACATTTGGTTAACCATGCCTTAGACTTAATTTCTCATTATCAGGCCTTGAGGGTCAAGAGTAACCACAATAAGCCCAAGTCTGTTCTTATTTAGATAAGACATCC